TTCCGTCCGCCAAAGGCAGGGTTTTGGCTGGCACTGTTAGCAGCAGTATTCTCAGCCGTTTCGTGATCGTAGTAGCCATCTATGCTATGCGTGACATCACTGTAGCACCCAGAGCTCGATGTCTTGTCGCCCTTGAGGACATTGAACTTCATGATCTCGAGGCGAGATAAAGGCTGGCCCCACATTTGCAACATCTCGGCGTAGGCATAACGGTAATACGAGTAGACATGGTTGCGGCTTGGATCGAGAAGAGGCGTGTTCAGCCATCCATCGTCGTCAAAGAGCCCCTGGTTCTCTGGGACGACCGAGACGGCAACAGGTACCAAGACCGTCATATCATGATTTCTACTCTCATCATCTGAGAGTGAAGTTCGTGCCGTACCCGGTGTTTCGGGAGCCGTACCCCCAAACACGGTTGAAGTTCCCCAGGTAACACTTGGAGCAAGGTTGTTGAAGATGGCTTCGGCAGGGCTAGGCCGCTTGCGTGGTGGGGGATCTGGAGGTGACCCCGAAACCATTCCAGCCAGTGTCTTCGGGAGGCTGAAAGCTGCAGAAACAGCCGTGTTGGAGCGGGTAAAGAGCCTATTGCTAGGCGATGTCGATAGGCTTTGAGTTTGATCGCCTTCTCGTAGATGATCTCGAGACATCTTCGGGGGAGTTTCGCCAGCGGAGAAGGAGTTGGGTGTAGGCTCAAGTAAAGCTACGACGTCCTCGATTCCTGGTGACTCTGAGTATATTGCAGGAGTATGGACGGTTCTGGGAGTCGTGATGGCACTACTAGCTTGACTCTTGTAGTTAATATGCCATAATGCTGGGTCGGTAGGGAAATACTCTAGCGAAAAGGAAGGGGCTTTCATAGGCAGGGGTGTCTCAGGCTGAGGAAGATGTGAGCCTGCATAGGCTACCCCGTCCTCAGCGGACGAGTCTCCGAAGATGCAAGCCAGCATGGCTAGCATCTGGATGTCAGCTACCTTTTCAAAATAGTTGAAAAGGTCGGCAATCAAGCTCTGGGCTAATGGGTGGTAACCCCACTTGACACGGCCAGATAGATTACTGTCCCAACCAAAGTGCTGTGCATACTCGTCATCCCGAACCCGTGCCGAGGCGTCCCTGGCTATGACAAGGACGGATTCTTTTCTATTTTGCTGTTCATGGATTTCAAGCGGGATGTCATTCCGCAACAACATGGCCGCATAATGCCATATATGAACGAGATCGTGATACCCATATTTCTCCGCGACCATGGCATTATGCATGCACACCTCAGCGCCATCGCCAAAGATCGCATACTCCTGAGCAAACTGTTTCTGCGATGGAAGTAGGCTGCGCAAATCGTGAAGGGCAATGATATTCTTAGGCCTGGCTGGGAGCCTTCTTCGACTGATCCCCGTTCCGGTTCCGGTACCAGCGCCGGTGCCTCCTCCGCTGGAGCGCAACGAGTCGTTGGTACTCCATGTCTTCTTGAGACTACGCCCACCAGGTTGATGCCATAGACTGATCTTGTGCATGGTTGACGGCTCCGAGTCGCTGGATGAGCTGGATTCTGAGTCTTCCGACCCATCACTCATATCGTCAGAACCCGAGTCATCATCGTTGTATCTACGTCTTGGAGGCGGCGAATCCTGGGTGAGACGACCGAAACCCGCAAAATTTGGTTCTCCTTTCTGTCGATCGCGGTAGGCGTCTGAATTGGAGATGGAGAATAGTGCGAGGGCTTGTTGTTCTTTTGAGGGGAAGAAGCACACAAGTCTGCCGTCGTTGGAAAATCTCGCTCCGCACTTTCTGGGCGTCGGCACTGCAATGGGGCGTTGTGTTGGAGCAAGGGTGGCTGTCGGATCAAGTTCAGTGCTCGCCGTAAGGTCCTGTGACATTGAGACAGATCCTCTAGCCTGGACATCGCTGTCTTCCTCGTCACTGGAGCTTTCGTCTGCTAGCGCTTCGATTTCCTCGTCGTTGAGATCCCTTACATTCTTAAAGAGGGTGGTACTATTTTCGAGGTCGACATCGCCGAGCAAGTATGAGAAGGCCACCTCGAGGCAGTTTTGTTTCCTTTCGAGGAACTGATTGGCAAGTATCTGCAGCTCGCGCTCGATCTTCTCGTGAGTTTCTTCGGGCATGAAGGATGTCTTTTCGACATAAAACTTGGGGGCCTTGCTGGTGGGATAGCTGGTTGGAATATCGACTTTAACCTTGATGAAGATTCCCTCGTCGTTGAAGCCCCATGGCCCCTTCAATGAGGCGTTGAGAATCAACGCATCCATATCGATGTTTTCCCATTTCACGTTGGGAAGACGATTGCTGACGTGGATGAACTCGTCTTGAATGGATTCCGGTTCAGCCCAGTCATCGTCATAGGCACCATGGCTGAAAAGGCCAGAGTCTTTGATGCTACCTCGTCCAGGGCCATCGGACTCGGATTTCCGCTTGGTCATGGAGATACCTTTCATCCACCCGATTTGCAATTGACTCTTGTCCATACTTTTGCCGCCATTCACCTTGGCCTTCATTGGAGAACCTCGCCACGTAGGCCCAACCCGACGGAGATGGGAATTCAGGCCATAGCTGAGGGCACTTTTGCGATACTGACCCGAGCTTCCCGGACGCGGGTCGCTCATGGTAGCAGTCCTGCGATCGCGGTGGACAGTATCGTCGACTGCGCGGAAAGTCTTGTAAGCTGCGCCTTTGCGGGTGAGGGCCAGGTTCTTCACCACAGTCTTCCCTTTGACATAGCCAACGGACTCAAGAATGTCGGGCTCAACCTTTTGCAACCGCAACTCATTATCTTCGCCCCAGGAAACCAACTGAAACTCGCGCTCATCAACACCCTCGCTAGTGATTGATCCTCGGGTTCTCCACAGAAATTCTTTCACTTTGTGGTTTCCGTGTCCTGAGAACATGGCAACGGGTTCTGATGCGCTCGGAGCCTCTGGGGCGGTTCCCCGATCGTACAGGTAAAGGTTGCCCGGTTCATTCTGTGGCATGGCAAGCAAGCCGTTGCCAAAAGGGGTATGCCTAGCTCGCCATACTGGAAAGTCGGTGCGAATGACCCGCTCTGGTTCATCGGTCTTTTCGTAGTTCCAGAACTTGATGGTTTTGTCCAAGGAGCAGGTGACCAAGCAGGGGGCGTCAGTCCGATTCCAGTCGATACCGTAGATTTTGGACGTGTGAGCACAAATGGTCTTGAGGGGTTCGACAGTCTTTCGGTCGTCCCAGATATGAAGCCATCGATCGTGAGCCGAAGCAAGAACATGAGGGTCTTGACGACTGTATTTGACCTGCGTTGCACCGGCAAACCAGTCACAGAATGACAGAGCAGGCTGTCTCGGTCTTCTCAGATCCCAGTGATGAACATAACCGTCAACTGAGCAACTGGCTAGAAGATCTGGATGGTGAGCCGAAAAGTTAATGTCGGTGATGGCTCGACTATGGGCTTGCAACGAGTGCTCGATGGCTCCAGAGGGCGAGTCATCCCTCATGTTGAGGTTCCATACCAGACAGCGATGATTTGCTGTCGAAGCCACCCAGTAGTCACGAGCTGCAAAGGGAGACCATTGGACATCAACCACCAGCCACGGGAGGCCATGGCTGCTCAGTCTCCGTGGGGGATTCCATGGCGAGTCCAGGTCTATGATAGCGAGGCCCTCAGGGGAAGCAAGAGCAACATCACGGCCCGAGGGTGAGATGGTGGCGGAGCCTACCAAGCCATCAACATGGATGGTCAGGTCGGCATCGAAGCTCTCACTGTCGAAGGCTGACTTGATTGTTTTCGCCTTCTTTGGCGGAGAGTCAAATACGGAGGGCATATTGCGGGATTAGGATTGGACGAGACGGTGCAGCATGGTGCGTACCCTCCCTCATCCCATTCTCAGTGCTGGAGTTTGACTGAAGTGGTAAACCAAGGATGAGTTGAGTTGAGTTGACGGGACTTGACGAGACTTAATGTTGGACTAGACCAGCTCCCCCAAGGACGAATAACCTGGCATTCGTAGGGCGTCTCGGGAATGGTGAAGTCGAAGGTAAACCGGAGAGATCACAGGTCGTCGTCGTCGTCGATCAATGCAAAACATATCGAGAGGTGTCGATAGCAGCGGAAGAAAGTACGAAGGCCGGCAGGTTGGAAACAAGTGGACGTGCAATGTCAATGAAGAAACCGTTCGGCCAAGAAGTAGACTCCCTCTCTCTCACTCCAGTCTCTCTCTCTTCAATGGAAGGTCAACCTGACAACGGCGTCAACCTCGACAAGGCGCCGATGAACAGTTAACTGGACACAGGAACGGCAGTGGTGCAGTGGCAGGCAGTGACTTTGGCCAGTACACTAGACGTAGGAGGTACCTTCTCGATCATGTGGTCTGTGCGCTTATCGCGAGATCCCGATTAGAGGGATGGATGATGGATTCCATCCCGTCACATGGATACCTCTAGGGTAGGTAGGTAGGTCACCTCCGGCTGTCGCTGTCAGGGCCGTGACCGCTGTCACAGGGCATTCAGTGGTTTCATTAAGTACGCCCGCCGTCAGCGCATCCCACACACCTTCTTCCACCCGACTTTGCCTTCCAATCATCCCGCGTTCCGTCGTCGAGAACTTCCTTGCTCCGTTGTGAATTGCCTGTGTCGCAAGAGATTCTGCCGATTTCGACTTGTCTCCAACAAGTTCACAAGGAATCGACTGCCTTGCGACGATTTTGGTCTAGCCATACCTACCTACCTACCTACGTACTACCGCTTTTACCAGACGTTCCCTTATTTACAGGCCCTTTCGCTCCGTGATAGCGCAGTACACTGTGCGTTACCTCTGTCTGCCTCGATTTGTCAACCGGAGCCTCCGAAACGCCTCTTTAACTGCCCTCTGACATCCAGCATAACAATCGGCGATAACCCCTCCACTTGCCCTCCTGTCTCTCCCAGCCTCAGCGACAAACATTTTCCTCACCACAATTTCTCCCACTTGCTTGCCGAGCTTCCTTTCGCACTAAACACCAGCAGCAATTAATCTAATCATTATGGCGCTTCCGAAGCGGATTGTGAAAGAGACCGAAAGGCTGATGGCGGAGCCGTACGTACATGCCATCCTCATCCCAAGAAGCAGACAGTCTAGACCAAAGTCCTAACTTTTCCTTCCTGATCGCAGTGTCCCCGGTATTAGTGCTGTTCCCCATGAGGACAACCTTCGCTATTTCGACGTCGAGATCCACGGCCCTTCGCAATCGCCATATGAGGGTTGGTCTTCCTTAACCCCCACGGCTCCCGATACATTCATCTCTACTTCGATGCGCCATGAGAACATACAACATGATTGCTAACAGGAGAACCAAACACCAACACAGGTGGTGTCTTCAAGCTCGAACTCTTCCTCCCCGATGACTACCCCATGACCCCTCCCAAGATCCGCTTCCTTACCAAGATCTACCACCCCAACGTCGACAAGCTGGGTCGCATCTGCCTCGACGTCCTCAAGAGTGAGTAGTCCCCAGAAAGGAAAGCCGAGATAGTTGAATACGCCAGTTCCGAAAAGCTAACACACGATACCAACCCGATAGACAACTGGTCCCCCGCCCTCCAAATCCGCACCATCCTCCTCTCCATCCAAGCCCTCCTAGGCGCCCCCAACCCCGACGACCCGCTCGCCCCCGATGTGGCCAAGACCTGGAAGGAGAACCCCAGCGTTGCCGTCGCCACCGCCCGGGAATGGACACAGCAGTACGCCTTGCCATCCCAGTAGGGTCGGAGGCTGGCACCAGGACTCAACGAAATCCCGGGACAGGGCGGCTAATGCGCCGACATGTGACCCAAATGGAGGAAACTATGACCCATAACGGTTCGGGCCTTAGGACGGCCATTGGGTTCTAGATTACAATTGAGCACAGGAGCAGCTGGTTGTTGTGGCCTTGCGGCAGTGATGGATCACCAAGGACAACAAGTGGCTGTGGCAATAAAAACAGAGAGATCATGAAGGAAAGCAGTGGAAGAAGTCGGTCTAGCTAGGTGTTTGTGTGAAGCACGGCGCTGGTGGTGTATCATGCACACGCCCACGGTGCATACGGAACGCACAAAGAGAGAGCCTGTGAGAGGGGAATGAGGAAGGGAAGGCTACACGAGAGAGATGGAGAGACAACGAATACTGGATCGATGGACGAGGAAGGGGCACGTATGATGGGATGAGTGGAGGATGCTATGGTGGATGCAACAGCCACGCGGCGCCAAGGCAGACACTGGAAGGAGGAGTTTTCCAACATAGAGAACATCCTTTGGAAGCGGTGTGTTTTCGGGTGGTTTTTTTTTTCCCCGCAGCGATAGAGTACCGGGTAGGTCTTTTCAAATACTACATACATATCTTGCATCATGACCGCTGTTCGGATGTGCGTCTGAGAGTGTGAGCCTTGGTAGGCCAAGTAGGTAATCTAGGCAGTTCAGTATGAAGAATAGATTAGTCGGGTTTTGATCAGATATAGCGGTAAGCTTCAAATACACTCACGAAACCACTGACCAAGTGAAGCGGGATGTGGTTTCTGGATAAATCACACTGACTGGCTAAGTAGCTTCTGTACAAGCGGAAACAAACTTGTAAACGGAATACCGAGGACACTGAAAAAAGATCAAAATGCAATCACAAATAACGCTGATACCTGCAGTCCTTTAGAACAGACAACTATAACTTATTCATATGATCCCGAGGATTCCAGCTGGGATGCCAAGTCCAGAGCTTTACGATAGAACAGACCGAGTGGTTAACTATGGAATGGAATGGATGGTTCCAAGGGAGTTACTAGAGGGAGGGAGGTTCATAGAGGACCTGAAGTGGGAGATGAGGCAACACGCAGGAATTTAGGGGCAGGACTAAGGATTCCATTCATGAACTGGAACCCGTGTGTTTCTCCCTTTTTTGGATGGGAGGGAGGAAGGGAGGGCCGAAGAGGACTAACTGAACAGACGGACCAACTTGATTGAAACGGGCGAGAGAGGTTGTGGACGGGAGTAAGTATATCGATCGGGGGGAGCACTAACTAACCAAGTACCACAGACAGTCTTTCGGAGGAAAATTGGTTAGTTATAGAATGTTCCGTCTCTCCGTATCGATTACTAGAGATATGTAGATAGGTTACGTGATTGATGTCTATCTGATATCTGATACAATATCTGATGTTTCCTGATGTTCTGTCGACTTGGCTATCATTTCTAGAATCGAGGTAGGTAGGCACTTTGTAGCTTTAATCACACGTCATGAACAAACAACAACAACAACAACAAACGCAACGCAGCACGGTGGAATCATCGCGGTCCGTCCAAAATGATGAAAAAGGTTGACATGATAGTTCCTTATTGACAGACTATCAAAGGAACCAAGTGAACATGGTCCTGCTCCGTCACAACTTCTCGTCAGGACAGGGAGCTAGTTTAGTTGCCCAAGTTGCTCTAGTATTTAGAGGTATCCTTTTAGAGAGGAATATATATTGCACGAAACGTGACGCAACACCACCAAGTTGAATGGAACGGAAAGCGATAAGAGCAGAAAGTATGCGGTACGAGCACGAGCACACGCAGGAATCAATAGCAACGGAACGGAGAATTAAAGCAGCAGTAGTAGAATAGAATAATTATATCAAAAAAAAAAAAAAAAAAAAAAAAAAAAAAAAAAAAAAAAAAGTCCACTTATGCCCAGGGGTATCTCTCTATTTGCCGGAGTTTCTTGTTGTTGTTTTGTCCTGTTTTCTCTCCATGGTTTTATCCTCCTATCCCTCTCGCAGACACGAAACTTCTCTCTCTCTCTCTGTGTGCGTCTTGCTCTTGACTGGACTGAAATGGATAGGACTTTGTTGATTTGGACGGAATCTTGTCACTGAGAATGGGTAGGTAGTTCGTGACGACGACGACGATGACAATGGCGACGACTGTGGAAGCGGGGGGAGGGCCGTGGTGGAGATTGGATTATCTTTCTTTTTCTCTCGATTGTTGCAGCAACGGCATTTAGTTATTTGATGTGTCCGTTCTTTCTTTACCAATCCAGTATGCCAGCAGTATGCCAGTTGCATGCCTGATATCAATTTGTCCAGTCCCTTGTCCGCCGCCGTCCAATGTTCCAAACCCTTTCCCTTCCAACGCAGTATCGAATCCAGCATGGCATCGCACATCCTCTCTTCCCTTGAAAATAAAACGCAAAACTCGGGGTTGGTTGGGTCCTCCCTCTTTCTCCTCCTATCCTTCATCCTACACGGTGAATGCTAATTTTTTTTGGGTTATTCCCTTTTCAACTCTTCATTCGCCCGCAGATCCGATCCGACGCCTTCTCTTCCCTGCCTCCATCAGCTAATAACCAATCTTCTTTCTCTTCTCCTTCCATTTCCATCCCCTCTTGTCAATCCGGTGGTCCAGATCGTGCTGACTTGTAACACCTTCAAAGCGCCATTGCGTCTGCCCATTTGGTTTGATCCATCCATCCATCCATCCATTCGATCCAAATGTCTGTCTGTCTGTCGGTCTGATTGACTTGTCCAGGTTTTCCGCCTCGATAGCCCGCAGTGGTGGGTGCCAGCCTTGCCATTGTGGGAATTTCCAATAAGATAAGAGAACAAACGGACCTCTCGACTCGTTGTTGCTTGCCTATGTTTACATTGTGGTTGTCGCAGAGTGTTATAGTCGATCCTCTCGTTTTCTTTTTTTGCTGATTTTGGTGGGTGGAGGGGGAAGAGAAAAAGCCGGTGAACTGAAAAAAGAATCCGTTTCGTCTAGTCCGCGATGGAACAACGACGACGACGACGACGAAGACGAATGATTATCAACCGGCGGTCAAAAGAACGAGATCAATATACGGGGAAAATAAAGATCGTTTGGAAACAGTTTGAAAAAGACCACCTGTTCCAACGGTGGTAGTTCAATATTGTTTGTAGAAAATAATAGAAACACAAAAAGAATAAAAATGTCAAACGCTAATATGCCATGCCGCTGAATTGTGTGTGTCCACTTCGCGCGAAACAAAAATGTGTGCGATGTGTGACGTGATGATGCCGATTGAATGTGTGTGATGTGTGCAATCTTTTGTCTTCCAGATAATTTAAATGTTGTAATCAAAATGTCTTCTGTCAAAAACTATGGTATCTGGATGTGTGACCATGAAACCCCATCCTAGTAGCAGGCCGGATGATGAGAGAAATAGAGAAGCCTGAACCTTGTTCGCTGCCAACCAACCTTACACTCAGCACTATACACAGGACTCGCTCACTCATTGGAGCAAGACCCTTAGGAACTGAACTGAAACATCAACTCAGTAAGCGACTTGAGACGACGGCGCGGTCTCAAAGTACGAGGGCGCCTTTGTTGATGATGATGTTGATGATGCTGAAGTCTGATGTTGTGCTGCTGGTGGGTATGATTGGCTGTGCGAGTTCGGCTGCGGTGTCGGGGTCACCGGACAACGGGGAGCAGGATATTCCTTCATCATCGTGCCATTTTGTGCGAAGCTGGCAGCGTCGGGGGTGATCGGAGGGGTCATGTATCCATCAGCAGCACCGGGAACGGCTCCCAGGCCCTTGTGGGGAGTGCTGTAGACATTGGACGCCTTGCTGGAGTTGGGGGTCAGCTCGCCAGGAGAGGAAGGCGGGGCACCGCCACGACGGTTGATAGCGGCCTGCTGAGCGAGGAAGTCGGCGAGCTTGCCAGACACTTTGGAGAGGTATGCGCTGGAATACTTCCTGGAAAGCGTGACGGAAGGCTGGTGAAGGTGCTGCGAAAGAGCCAACAGCGTAGCGTTCTCGACCTGGTCCCATTCGCCATCATTAACCTCGGGCTTGCCCAAGATAGCCCTCGCCAAGACCAAAGAAACCCGTGCCATGATGGATGGTTTGGTGGAAACGAAATCCCTGTGGTACAAGGCAATCTCGCAAATGTATGCCGCCATGTGTTCGACATCCCTGCTGTCCCTTTCCTCGGCCACAATCAACTGGGTGAAAAAGTCGACGGTCGGGTGTCCAATGTTCCAGTCGAGAGTGTTGAGAACGTGCATTTCCATCTGCGTAAACATGCCGGCATCGTAAAGCCCACAGCACATGTTGTTGAGCTCGTTGATCTGGGGAACTCTGTCCTTCTTATCTCCATACTTGGCGGCGATCAGTAGGGCGGCGCAACCGACGAGCTGGTAATGCTGCTTGTAAACGACACGCTTGGAGCAGTACCGATCAAGAAGGTTAACGGTGAGGAAGAGGGTTTCGGGGAGGAGCGAGAAGGCAGCGTGAGCCTCGATAAGGAAGTCGATAAGGTACGGGCGCATGAACCATTGAATCTCGCGTTGCATATCGATGAGGTTAGCATCGGGTAATGTCTCATCCTATTAAATTCAAATCCATGTCAGCACGATTTGAACCACCCAATCAGAAACGCACATGCACAATCTTACCTCCATGTGACGGATATGCTGCATGATATCCTCAAGGTACTCATCGCAAGCAAGTCGCGAAAGGTTGTTGGCGATCATTTCCTGCTTGTTCCGAGCGATGAGCTTGGCAGCATCCCGAACGTTTACCCTTGGCGCGGGCTGGTCATCGGACTCGACGAAGAAGGTCTCGTCGTTGTGACGTGAGGTAACCATTTTGATGTGGGTGTGGTGGTTGTTGTTGGAAGTTTTTGATTCTCGTAGAGTGGCAATGGCTGAAAGAGTGGTGAGTTCCGAGTTCTCCTGGAAATCGTTTGTTGCAGTATTAGTTGTTGGAATGAGCCGAAAGAGTGAGGCTC